TGGCCTCTTCCCACTGGAGACCTGCCTGTGCGGAGGGGCTGCTCCGTGGCTCTTTCAGGGGGTTCAGCCAAGTTGAACACTTCTCAACTCTCGGGAATGCGGAACGCGCCGCAGCCCGCTTTTACCTGGTTGTAACTCACTTTGCCCGAGCGGAGTGCTTATGAGGATGGCTTTCCCTGGGGTCTCCTAACTTACTGCTTGCTCGTACTACACTAATATCCTTGATTTGTTGTCTCAACTTGGATGCTGAAGGTCAAATTGTTTCCTTACGTGAAACTGTAATTAGATTATATGCGTGCGTGTGGCTCTGCGGTATGGACCGCTGTACGCCGACAGTGTTCGGTTACAGGACCCGCTTTTCTAAGAGACCTGATTTTTCAAACTCTTTGACCCCTTCCTGCTAATGCCAGGTATTCACCCATCCTCTGCGCAAATGTTAGCGGTGCGGGATGTGAGAGCTCCTCGTTGATTATTACAGTGTGGGAAGGACACACTTTAAACGCGGAGCCATGAGCATTTTCCCACCCACCTTGCATAAAGTGCATTCATGTGAAATATTTGGAATGCCTTCCTTTATGTGTCTCTGCTCCCAGCCGAGCACGAGGTGGGCTGCGTCCCTCCGAAATTTGAAAATGACGACCTGAGAAGGGGAAAAAACCCCACCAACAAATTCGAAAAAAAACCCGAATCTTGGAAGCTTTTACAAACGCTGGAAATCCTTTCGACCACATGCGCCATGATGGTGAACACAGTGGCTTTGTTTGCACTTCACGTTTAAGGTTGGGCCGTGTATTTTCGTGGTGTCCTCTGCTCCCTGATACTTTTTGGCTGTTGACGGATGAGAAGGTTATTTTCATACTCTGGTGGTACAGGACCTGGGCATTCCTTGGCGAGCAGGGTTTTGCAGTTTGCTCTTATCAGCGACAGTAATGTAGTCATCATTTCACCCCGAAGCTGTCCGTGGCGTGTTTCCTTGAAAACCCCCCTATATATCGTGTATCGTGCCCGGTCCACGCGATCCGAGGTTAAACTTTCACACAACTCCAGCAACACGACTGCATTTCTGTTATGCTTAACGTCACTTATCATATTACCAGACAAATTAATCCCGATTGCAATTCCTTCCATGACTGAGCAGGTTCAGAAGAAAAGGGAAGTCCGTGGCGTGTTTCCTTGAAAACCCCCCTATATATCGTGTATCGTGCCCGGTCCACGCGATCCGAGGTTAAACTTTCACACAACTCCAGCAACACGACTGCATTTCTGTTATGCTTAACGTCACTTATCATATTACCAGACAAATTAATCCCGATTGCAATTCCTTCCATGACTGAGCAGGTTCAGAAGAAAAGGGAATCCTACCCTCACGACAGTGCCGTGCACCG